AATAATTTAGTGTGAATTATCTTATTATTTTTGATTCCTTCATTAACAAATCATAATGATTCAGCATTTTTATATATTACCCGGTTTAATTAGATAAACCCAACCCAAGTTCTCCTATGCAATATCCATCTTTTTTTTAAAAAAGCAGACCCTTGCAGAGGCACTACTGTGGCCTTATACAGTATTCATTTATTTTGATCATGCTCAAACAAGAGAGGTTACTAGGATATTTCTCCATTTACTTAATTTTCCTACTAAGGGAGGGAGTAGGGCTCCTGAGCCATAAGGTACTGAGTCTCCAGGTTAGTTAAAATGTCTCTTGCAATGAAATCTGTAGCATTTTAACTTCTATTACGTTTTACCTGACACAAACGTTTGTATGTTGACCACTTGTTGATTCAAAGACCTGGCCACCCACATTCATTTCCCTCTAATACAATACTACAAAAGGACTTGCATAACTAGTTGGACATACTGCAAACAAAATTGGATAGAATTTGGCAAGAGAGTGAGACATACCCAAGAGTGAGTACTATCACTCATGGGTTCTGGATTACGTGGAGAAGCCTTTGTATTCACCAGGCAGCACAACACTAAAGGTGGAGCCAATGCTACCTTGGCAGGAGTTATTCTGCAGAACTTTTAAAGGTCTACCAAAATGTCTACTTTTAGCTATGTTGGAAAAGTAATTAGTTAACCCCTTGCCCCCTGCCAAAAAAAGAAATACCAGTAAGTGACAAAGATGCTGAAAGTGCCAAATAAAAAATTAGAATATACATCATTGGTATTGTTTGCTACAGGGAGCCGTTTAAAGCTTGCACAGAAATTGTGTTTGACTTCAAAGATGTTTCAGCATAGGATGTTGTTGGATTGCAACTCCCAGCATTCCATATTGACAGTCTCTTTAACCAAGGCTGCTGGGAGTGAGTTTGTTTGTTTATTTTAATGTATATACTGCCTAATTAATAAATCCACACTGCTCTGGGCAGTGCACAAACAAGCAAAACCCTACAGCCACTGACTTCTTTTCCATAATCACATAATCAAAATGGTGCTATAACCAACTTGAGTGCAATAGTCTACAGAAAAACTATATATAACAATAACATTAACATAATTTGAGTATACAGTACAGTACAACCTTCTTAAAGGCTACCTTATATAATTCTGCAGTCCCACAATAACTAGAGGCCCATACTTTCCACTGTTGTTTTAGTGCGATATCTGTAAACACTTAAATATCATCTTTCTGTAGATTGTAAATTGCACAGTACTAGTTTCATTTACCTAGTTTTGAAAGATACATGGATTTCCAAGAATAACCAAGAAGGCTCTTGGAAACTTTAAAAAAAAGTTTCCAAGGCTTGGAGTTCCTTCCATCCATCCATAAATGGGAGAAATAATAAGTGAGGAGGGAGAAGAAACTGAAATACTTTGTCTTTGACATCAATATGGCATTCCTGTACAAAAGAACTTCAAAGAGAGTTGCCAAGGGGAAACAGCTCAGCAAGAATTAATCAAGAGGTTCCTATCTATCTCCAGTGCCTTGAATTGTGGTGAAGATTTCTATCTCACTACAGGAGTTGTTTAGCTTATCTAAACAGTACTACGCAACTACTCTTGATAATGACAAATGTAAAGGTGACAATCACTACACTTTTGACATTTTAGTTTGCTCTCTCCTAGGCAATTGTATGTATATTAATGTGCTAACTCAGGTCACAGGCATGTACAGCAGTTGCAAAATGGTTGTGTTATTATCAGTACTGCTTTGTGAATAATAGCCACTGTAACAGTGTTTAAAGATAACTGCAGCTTTAATATAATGATTATCATCAACTATCCTTTCTTTGCCTTTAATTTCCCTCTGTCCTCACTGCTTACCACTCTTGTACCTCCAATTCTTATTGTTGACAATCTTTCATACCAGCTTTTCATTTAAACCTTTCAAGTGGACTCTACTTCACAAAGGTTTGTGGCATAACAAATCGTCATTCTGTTAAGTTGCCTGAATAATTTTTTTTCCTTAAAAAAAAAAATAGAACACAGCTATCCTTTTGGAAATATTTTGGAGATGGGTGAACAGAAGGTAGGCATACCCCTCTAGATGGTTTGTAGTAGATTAACAATGGTTTATCTACGTATTGGATTTATTTTAATTTCATTTTTGTTTTATTATTTTGTTGAAAACCATCCAGAATAGGGCTTCATACTAACAAGACAGTATACAAATCTAATAAATAAATAAATAAATAAATAAATAAATAAATAAATAAATAAATAAATAAATAAAATGGTTCCAAACTACCAATTGTCTAACAACAGCTGTGGCTTTCCACTCCACTTTATTAATCCTGAAAGTATGGTTTATTTTTAGCATTACTTGGTACTGTGAGCAGAATGTAGGATTATGGTGCTCCTCATTTCCAGTAGATGTCCATGGTGAGACCCTCTTAGTTGGAAGCTTTTGATTAGTAATTCCCCCTTAGGAAAAAAAATGTCCAACAGAGATTCCTCAGCAGAGAGGTGGATTTCTTTCTTTCTTTTTGAAGATTTCCTACAGTGAAAGTTTTCAAATAAAAGTATTTTTTAAAAAGAGATGCAGATCCCAGTAAACTCAACACACCTTTCACATTAAGTGCCATGGATCTACCATATGCATTCTCCACTGAGGACGAGCCAGCACCCACCCACCCAAGCATAGTAAAATAAGAAGGGGAGAACTGCTGGATATTGTGCCTGTGGCAGTCCAGAAGGCTAAACTCCCAAAAGAAGATAACTTGATTACTTGAGTCAGAGGGAGAGGGGTGAGCTGCCATCCCACTCACGAGAATACTGCAGGATAAAGACAGAAGCCACAGGCAAAGTGCTCAGCTTGTGGTAAAGACTCCTCAGGAGCAGAGGCCTCCTGGAAAACAGAAGGAAAGGCCATCTTTGTAGGGAGACTAGTGGGCCAAATCTTGCAGCTGAGTTTCTTTCCCCGCTGGCCACATGCCTGCAGCTGAACACTAGGGGGGGGGGACTCCAGCAGCTCAGTCTTGGACTGGGAGTTTTGCTAGCCATAATGTTTCTTGTTGTTCCAGATGCTACCTGTTATGTGGCCTAACCCTGAAGCTGACTCTTTGTGGCTTTTGGATTGCTTGACTATGGTTCTTGGACTCTCCTTTTTTCTTTTCTTTCTTTTTTTTTTTTTGATACAACTGATCTGGATTCTCTTGGATTTCGCCTCTGGATCTCTAGTATGATTCTGTTTACTAAACCTCTGCCTTGCCCTGGTTCTAGACTCAGCTTGTGTTTTTTCAGCTTGCCTTGCCTTTCAAGCTTGTGGAGAGCAGAACATCAGTAACAGAAAAGGGGAGTGCAACAAATGTTCCAACTTGGTCATCCCTAAAGATGTTTTCTTTCATGGTTACAGTACCAAAAAAAAAGGAATACTTGATAGGAAATTCAGAAAGGAAAGGATTTGTGAGCTGAGTTGTTTTCTAATCACAAACCCTTGAGCAAAGTACATGCACAAAGGCAATACCAAATTTATAGCTGCTTCTCTAAGGATCTGTTTTGTACCTTCAGTGCCCAAACTGACAAAGATTCCAGGAGAACTTAAAAAAACCTTGACTTTTAATGATATTTGATTTAGGTATCTGACTATGGAGCCCAGAAGTTGGGAGTTCAATTCCCCGTGTGTTTCCTGTTGGAAGAGCCAGCCTGTGAAGTCACAGGCAAGCTGCACAGTCCCAGAAGGCTCCCAGAAAAAGGGAATTGTAAACCATTTCGGTGGATTCTCTATACAGGAAACCTTGGGCAAATAATAATTGGAATTCGACTTGACAGCACAGAGTTATTATTTTTCTAGAGGTATCACTCAATCCCGATTCCAGATTTTGCACGTCTCGCACACAGTGTTTCAGCACTAACTCCATTTGGTGGACCTCAGTGCAGAGCTGGGCCTACCATCAGGCACCTTGAGGCAGCTGCTTCAGATACCAGGTTTTGATTGCAACAAAAAGGCTACAAGCTGTTTGAAACAGAGGAAGGTAACTTTGGACTACCCTAAGTGGACCTGCAGTAAGGTGGACCTGCTCCATTCCTCCTACCGCTAGGCAATAATCACAATTTGGGCTCAATGGAATTGGAAGACCAGCCTGTAAATAAAGCAGAATGCAGTTATCTCAGGCAGCGGATCTGCATGTCATGAAAAGGCCGCAAACTGTTAGTGGTACAGGACAGTGTTTCCACTGCCAATGACAGGGAGAGGTGCCTCATAAAACAACTTGTCTAATTGTTGGGTACTATGTTAAGTTGCAGGGCAGGGGGATCACTAGACTGGCCCTGTCTCTTTGATTCCTCTTCTCGTTCGGCTGCTTTTGCACAACCTCCTTTATTTTTAGCCCCTTAACTTTTCATTCATTTGTACCGTCGAAGTCTGATTCAAAGATAAAGGTTCACGACCTCGAAACTGCCCCGCCTGCAGTCAGCATTTGAACATCCCATTCAGTAGGTCCGTTTTCTCCACATACACATAAGGTGTAGTGTAATTCCGCTAACATTTACTTTTGAATCATAATTTTGCATCTTTACGACTACACGAGTATTTGTAATCGTACGACAACGGTCCTCTTTTTCCTTCTGATCCATGTCCTCGGTGTTTCTGGTCTCCGTGTTTATTTTGGTGGTGTGTCGGCGGCCACCCTAGGAACTTCTTACCCCAGGCTCCGGCCAGCAAAAAACAAAACAAAACAGCTCCAAATCCTGTCCTTTTCC